CAAGCTGTAGTTACCAACAGTCATTCTGTAGTCCTCCCTCCCCCAGGCTCTTGGCAAACTCAAGTCTACTTTGTTATTATGGATTTGCCCATCCTGAACATTTCATATAAACAGAAACATACAATATGGGGTCTCTTGTGATTGACTTCCTTCCCTAAGTATATCTTCAAGGTTCGTCTATGTTGACACATGTATCGGTGCTTCGTTTCTTTCTATGGGCAAATCATGAGCCATTGTATGTTCATGAAATGTTGATGAACATTTGAGTTGTTTCCAAATTTTAGCTATTATAAATAATGCTGCTATGAACATTCATACACAAGTTTTTGTTGCACATATGCATTCAATTCTCCTGGATATATAGTAAAACATGGAGTTTATGAGTATAACTCATATGCTTTACATATATATTTAACCTTTTGAGGACCTGCCAGACTGTTTTGGAAAGCAGTTGTACATTTTACATTCTCACCAGCAGTATCGAAGGGTTCCAACTTCTCTACATCCTTGCCAACATTTCTTATTGCCTATTTTTTGTTACAGCCATCCTAGTGGGTGTGAAGTGGTATCTCGTTGTGGGTTTGATTTGCATTTCCCTTTCTTTTTTTTTTTTTTAAGATTTATTTATTTGTGCATACAGAGCTGGGGTACAGGCCAGAGGCTCAGGGGAAGTGAGAGACTTCACCAGAGACAGAACGGGGAGCAGAACAGGCAGATCGATGAAGTACACTGCTGAGGGGAGCAGTGGGAGGGTCAGGAGAGGTCTGCCACGCCATGGGCAGGTGGGAATCGAACTCATGCGGAAGTGGTTTCAGCTTCTTAGTGCAGTGCTTTAACCCGCTGTGCCACCAGGAAGGGCCCTGCATTTCCCTTTCATTTTTACATTCCCAGAATTTTCAGTTCCTTTTGCAAAACCTTGCATAGAAGAGAACTCAATATATGTCTGATTTATTAATCCATTCACTAAGTATTTACTGAATAGCAGCTATATGTCAGTTGCTTTTCTCAAGGCAACTTGAACTCAACAGTACACAAAACAAACAAAATGAATGATGAATGAAAAAGCAAACACCAGAAAGTCTGAAGGCAGGTCCTGAGTCCAGAGGTGCTCTGCTCCTGGGTTTCTGGCAGGTGGGTGGTGCCTGTAACTTCACAATTACCTCCACACCTATTCATCATGCTGTTTTGAAATATTGCTTGTAAAGATCCAACATCAATTCAATAGGACGGATTACTAATCCAGGGCTCGGTATATGTTCAGATTTAAGAGTGTGACAGAAGCTAGTTGCCAGTCAGTCTTTTGCATTCCTGATGGAGAAACATTTATTATTGCCTGGCATGTATTTTCACCTTCTCTGGTGATAGTGCCACACTTTTTCTTGAGGAGTCTTCTCTCATACTCATTCATTCATTGAACAAAAATGACTCTCCACTTACTTCCTTGGGCACATGACCCAAACCCAACCAATCAGACAGGCAAATCCCTATGGCTATGGTAACCGCTTCAAGGAACAGCATGTAGCCCACAAAGTCAACCCTGAGGCTTTTGCTAGAATGATCAGAAGTGCTCTCCTTTTACTTCCTGAAGGAAAACATAAAAGTCTGAGATCTTAGGGACTTGTGCCTACCATGTGTAGACACAATAGACCTTCCCTTTCTCTGCCTGCAAAATCCTGTCTTAGTTAAACTAGTTAGGTGGTGTCTAAAGACAATGAGTTACTCAGTAATGCTGAGTCTCTCCCATGGATACAGGAAGTAATATGTAATTATTAAACTTCTATTTGGCATTTTTCTCTTATTAAAAAAAAATAATAAAAAGCTTAGAGCTTCAAGATATCACCATGGAGAGATAACCTATAAAAGTATGAACTTAACAAATGAGCAAGCAGTCAAGAGACAGCAAAAGGAGCAAGCTCTGAAGATGTTATTGGAATTCCTGAAACAAGTTCAGCCTGAATCATGGACATGTCAAAGCCAAAATATTTCTGTTTGTTTGTTTGTTTGTTTGTTTGAACCACTTCTAGCTGATTTCTCCTTCCAGCAACTAAAAGAGCTATAGTTAATACACAGCATGTTTTCTTATAAGCCTAGAGAAAATCAGGTAAGCCAGAATCATTTTAATTTCATTTAATTTCTTGCAAAGACCTCAGTGCTAAGGTGTGACCCCACCACCGGCACCACAACTCAGATCAAAATCTGCAACCGAGGGCATAAGCCTACAGCCAAACCTGCCCCCTGCTCTCTGTTCTGAGCCCACTACCCTTCTGCCAAAGAAAAGTCTTCAATAACCTGCTGCTCTCCCTAAGCTCCCAGCTCCTACTCACATGTGAACTGGAAGCTGACCAAGGGCTCAGAAAAGCCAATGTTTGCTCCACTCTCAAAGGACCCTTCTCATGTTCTCCATTTTCAGTTTCTGCTATGCAATTTTACATCCACAGAGGGGTTAATTGCAAAACATCTACCCTAAGGAATGTTGCCTTTTGAACTAGACCTCAAAGTTCTAAGGAAATGAAATATACTTAGGAATTTTTTTGGTTTTTTTCTTTTTTTTTTTTTTCCATTTAGGAAGGAGAAGCAAAATAAAACTGGTTTCCTGAAAATTACTGATGAAAGTCAAGCCTCAATGTGACAAAAATGATAAGACCTTCCTCCTCACTGAACAAAAGAGGTGAAGGTTATTAGGAGGCAGCTTGGGTCACCATGTCATGGAGCTCACAGGTCTAGGACATGGGAAGTTTCTAAAGCTGGGAGAGCTGCTTCACACAGTGATTCACAGGCAACTTTCCCAGAGACTTCAGCAGTTGGTCTTACCCATCCGAGGGTTGCCCTCACCTTCTCAACCGCCAAGGGATTAGGAAAGAGGTTCATACACATTAAATGTTTCACACACATTAAATAAAAAATACAGTTGAGCTGCATCTTGAGGTGGGTAGGAGTCCACAATGGTTGAGGAGAAATGCACCCCAGGTGGGAACAACTGACATTCCAGGCTCACTCCTGGCAGACAGGACAATTGGTTATTTTGGAAATAGGAATCAGAACTTGAGGGATCAATTAAGGAGACTGTGAAAGTATCACTTGGGGTATTAAATATTTACGCCAAGGATATTTCTTCTTCACCCAATTTCTAGGCTGTTTTCACCACTTTCAAGAGCATCACTGTCTTCTAGAGGGGAATATATTTTAAAAATCAGTCTAGAACTTTATGGCCCAGACTCATAAATATATATGGTCAATGATCATGCTTGGGCATTCTAGTACAGATTTTAAAAAATGGTGTACAAGAAAGTAATGACACAGGTTTTCTTTAAGAAAAAAAAAAAACCAAAAAACTGATAAGTTGGGTCTCAATTCCAAAAGGGAAAAAAAAACCTTAAACAATATCTGAATCCTTGAAACAGAGGCAGTTACTTAACCGTGTTACAAGCTGAGACTTCCTCAGAAAGAACTTTTGAGTTGAATCTTGCAAATTCATCAAGAATTTTCCAGGCAAAATAATGGTCTAAATTCTGACTGTTTTTTTAAAGGCTTATTGTAGTCCCGGCTCTACAGAGTTGGAAGAAAAAACTGAAGTCATTCCATATTCCAATTACTATTTACTTGGATTTTCAAGTTAAAAAAAAAAATGGCTGAAATATGATACTGAAAGAATACTGCTTGCTTGTGTTGGTGCAGTATTACATTCTATACCAGAGAAGGAGATAGTAGCTGTTCTTAAGAAACCATGCTGGACAACAGTTTTGTTATCTTGTTATCTCTTATATAACCAAGGAGTAAAGCAAGTTGAGTCCCAACAGGAAGAACAAATACATTAGCATAACAATATACAGTGAAGGTAAGAAATTTCTAAGTCAGTTCACCTTCACTTAGAGGAAAACACAGTTATTTGTTTGTTTAATGTATCTACCCTGAGCCTGTCATGCAAATTGCAGAAGAGTCCCAAAAGATACTGTTGTTGACATTTAAAAGGTTTCTGTTGAAAGCAAAGGTATTTGCTCTGATTTTCCAATGTTAACACACCTACTCAAGTAAGTATTTACTAAGAAACCCTACTCCTTCCCCAAATTATCACAGTATGATTAGATGGTCTTGAAAAATTATCTAAGTTTCTAATGTTTTTTTGGGGGGGGGACTGTTTTTAATATAAAAGATCTTTCCTGATATTCATATACCTTCACTGAGTATAGTGTTTGTTTTATTAAGTTTTATTTTAGTTCTCTGTTGAAATGGAACATGGCGTGTCAAACAAAGGAGAAAAGGGCTTGAACAATCTTCACAAGTTCAATTTTAGAATTGAAAGAGATTAATATCTCTTTGTCCATGCTTGAAATCCATTTATTTAAAAATTCAGGACATGCTGAGAGGTATGTGTCCTAATAAGGACGGAATATACCAGATCTATCTGCCACTGACACCCTATGCTACATTTAATTTGTAAAGGCACTGCAATTGCTTTTTCCTTATTATATTTCTGTGAGGCTGAATATTAAATCCCCAAACACGTTGTGGGTAGACTAGCATCCATCATGGCATGAAGAAAGGGCCATACAATAAAATTAAGATGGCTCTCTTAATGCCTGAAATTAATCAGCACTAGATTCAAGCAGAATACAGAATTGGGGACGCTCTGTTCTATACATACCCACCACTGCTAAGATGCAGCTTACAGAGACTCAATGCCAACACCTCCCTTACGCATGTTTAATTGTTAATGGGCTAATCAATCGCAGTGCTAGGTGCCAACATTTTGAAATGGTTTTGATCTTCTGTTTTACTCAATTAAAATATTTTTACATTCTGATATAAGCAGACTCATGTAATGAATTCTCTCTCGTTTTAAGAATTCACTTTTCTATTACTTTTCTACAACATTAGTGAAAACTAAAGCCATATTATTTGAGCAAATCATAACTTTTATAGCTAAACAATTATCATACATTTGTTACGGATTTAATATTCAACTGATTCTCTGCATTGAAAGACGTAAAAGTGCATCTGACCTGGAAGTACTTCTGACATGGATCACTGGCCGCCAGCAAGGGTGCAGGAAATGGATTATAATCTGAAATCTGAAAAGAGGGATCATTTGAGAAGTTAAAACCCCAAAATAACAAAGCACACATAGAAAAAAAACAGCATTGACAATCCTTCCAAAAACTGTTTAAAATGTCAAATTTCAGCAAATAATGTACAAATTGTTGTTTATCATTGGACATACATTTTTTTTTTGGAAGGGGAGGCTTGCAGATCATATTTATTTTCAGCAGATGATTTATTATATATTTTTTAAAAAATCAAAAAAATTCCACATTTCTTGAACAATATAAATAACTTTGTAATAATGTAAATATAGGAAAGCTTTCAATCCAAAGTCAAGGTGTTTATCGCAAACTCCATCCTACAGGCTAGTGGGCTTTACAGGTGACACCTCTGAGCTCCTTAGCAGAGAAATCTTGAGAAGACACTACATAAGATGTCACCAAAAGATAGTATTAAAATTATAATGCAACCATCTCTTGGCCTGCAAATATTCTAAATGAGAAATCTTCAGCACTGGGGATCTGTTCCCTATGACAATTTCCTTCTGAATCCAGGATAACTACAAACACATGGCAATATCACAGAAAAAAAGTCATACATTGATTATTATAAATTTTATTTGTTTTTACCCAACCTGTTCTCCAATATGTTCATATTGTTTCTGGCAGAAAACATTATTTTCCTATATGACATCAATTACATCATTAATGATGAATAGAATGAGTTGCAGAGACCTTGACTGTGGAGACAGACATGGGTAGCTAAAACACCATCTGACTGCAAACAATGACACCATGGCAGATCACTGTGGCAAAGAAAGAGAAGACCAAGGCAATGCAAAGTACAATATTCATCAATGAGGCTGTTAAAATATTGGCCCAGAAACAAAGTACTGTGTCACATAAATGAATTTCGTGTTTAATCATGTGCACAACCACATGTTATTGGTGATTTTAGCAGATGCAAAACCAAGTATCAGCATAGAAAGACAGGGAAGCTTTTCAAAAAGCTTCACTGCTGATTTCCTGTAGATCACTGCAGCTCATGTCAGCGCTGATCCAACTGAGAGAACGGACACGTATTCCTGCTATTGCTGATCCTCCTTTTCTAACACCAGTTGTGAAGATTACATGGAAGTAAAAAAAAAATACCCTATTATAGTAGAAAGTGATGAAAAAAATTTCACTTGAAAATTTTGCAAAGACTGCCCAAAAGATGGTCCTCCCATCACTGCCAGCAAAGGCATGATTATTACGAAGATTGGCACTTCAGTCTCCTCCATTTTTTCAAATCACAAGTTTCCAGCAACATGTGTTTGCCAATATACACAACAGAACATGAAGGTCCCAGCAAAACAACAACAACATAAATTGACAAAGTAAAAAATTATCCAGAGTTTTTCCCCAGTTGCACCTCAAAACACATTCCAAGAACCACAAAAACTCATGACAGTGAATCACAACCACGATCAGAAAGTTCTCCCTGAGGAGAACTACTACTGGTTCTCCTTGTCCATCTTCCATCCACTGCCTCCAGAGGCAGTAGAGAAGGCATGTGGAGAAGGCCACATGCACAAGTAATATATGCCCAGAGGTACCCTCGGTGCAGCTGCAAGGCAGCAGAAGTGTAATAAAACAGTGTACAGATACCCACTGACAGCCAGTGATGGAGAGGAGGTTTGGGCAATGCAGGAGGGGACTTTTCCAACTAGCAATTCCCAAGCCCTCCACAGCCCCAGGCAAGGACTGTTCAGGACTTTGAGGGGTGTTTTTCTAGCTGCTGTAGTTGGTGTCTTGACAGTGATGATGTAGGTACCTGGCACAATTATTTAATAGACTCCCTGGAGTACACATGGCCCAGGCCCACAGAGGATGTGGGTGAGAATCGCCACACTTTTTCCTTGCTAGCCAGTGTCCACTCGTGGATCTTGACTTGCAGTATATATTTGGATAGAATAATTTCTCTTCTTTTGTAACTTGTTGTTGCTGGTCTTTATCCCAGCCCCCCAAAAGTGATTCTAATCACAACGCTTGGGATGAAATTTGAAGTCTTTCTTAATCATATTCCCTACAAACACTTCTTGAGATTCTTTTCCATGCCAGACTTTAATGATTTACTCATCAAGTTTCCAGGGTATTTTCTCATTAAAACACAAAGGAATATGTATATTTTACCACATAAAAATGTAAACCCACCATACACACCCTCCTTTTCAAAGAGTTGCTATCAGCACTCTCACTTAGAATGATATTCTATAGACTCAAATGCAGATGCTATATAATTCCATTTATAAAGTAGACAAAAACAGGAAAAACTCAGCTATGCCAGACAGTGATAGGAAGCAAATGGGTGGCCGAGGGACGCAGTGATGACGAAGCGTTGTTTCCTTATCTGGGAGTGAAAATTCATCCAGCTGAACTCTTGTGTGCATATTTCTGTGACATTTAGTATACTCTTATGAAACATTAGAAGAAAAAGTTAAATGCTAGGGTGTTTCTAAAACATGATTCAATTTGTGAAACTTTATATTTGCAGACTAACTTCTAACCCAACCTTTCCAAACTAGTAACCTTTAATGGGTATTACTTCCAACTTTATGATTCAGATAATGACCTGACAACCTGGTCTACTGGCCCACAGTCCATTTTTAATTATATTTTCCCATATTGTGGGTAAGGCTCATTAGTCTGGTATAATTAAAAGGGTGGATTTACTTTAAAGTATTCTGAAACAGCAAGAGATGTTTCCTCTATGACCTTTACTTTTTTGCTCTATCCCTCCCTCTGCTCCTTAAAAGAATTCTCCAAGTCAGTTTTCCTTTTTTGTCTTCAGTGCATGTGAATTTATAAGCAGAGAAAGAGATAAAGTGATAGAGATTTCAAGAAAATGAATTCCAAGACAGTAGAGAGGAAGTTAAGAAAAGTATATTTGCAGGAGTATTTTGAAAAGGTTTGAACAAAATTGAAGAATTTGGAAACTTTCTAGAATGTATAAGACTTAAAATAGAGTATATCTTTTCCTTACACAAAACAAACTATAACATCTATAAAGGTAACAACATTCTGCTAAATTATATTTTCAATGACCCTGTGCTATTCCTATCTAACCAATATTTATTCCGTATTTGCAACAAGCCTGTCCTATGCTTGCAGCAAGGAACACTTTAGTTACCAAACACACATTTTCCCTCTACCAACAGATGTTCCAGACTAGTTAGGGTAAATGGGTATTTACCACAAAATTACACAAACTAATGAATAAGTATGTTCTGGAGTAAAAGAACTTATTTATTTGGAAAAACTGCATGTACCAGACTAAAAAGTTAGGAAAGACTTTTCTGAGAAAGTAAAATTTAAATTGCAATTTGATAAATAAATAGAATGTAACTAGGTAAGCATTTACAGATACCTACAATGTGCAAAGTACAACCTCGCCCTGGGGATAAAGCACAAATGCACAGAGCACTTTCCCGCTAGGCCCTTACAGACTTACTGACTAAAGCTACTTGGTAAAAAAACAATTTCCTGGGAATTCATGGCATGGAGTAATTCTACATAAACAGTAACCTGGGAAAATATAAAAGCACTTAGGTATACATGGTTTTAACAACAGTCTGTAGCTATGCTGCCTGACATGGTGACTAGTAGAAGCAACTGAAGCTTCCTTCACTTGAAAAATAACTAGACACTGAAGGACTAAAACTTTAATTAAAATTAGTTTAAATGTAAATATATAAACTGTTATTTGACCATTGGGGAAGGCAACATTTAAGTAAGTGTGGAACTTCTTGAGCAAATATATCTACTTTTTCAAGTATAAATATTATGAAATCTAAATATAGATCCAGTAATTCCAAGGAAATTTCTGCATCTGGGTCAAGCACTTTAAAATTAGACATGTTTATTTGAGAGGCTTAGCATGAAAAAATGTAAAGCAGCTCATTAATAATTTTAAAATAGTGATTACATGTTGAAATTTTTTGGATAAAGTGAGTGAAATTAAACATACTGTTCAAATTAATTTCACCTTTTTCTTTTCAAGTGGGTACAGACAATTTTTATTATATCATCAGATCTGGTGATTTCAGTTCTGGTGATTTTGGTTGACCAGTCACAGCAAGGATGACCAAACATCACAATAACAGAAATAGACTGATGATTGTATTAGGTCGCCAGTATGTGATGCCAGAGAGAGCTAGAAAACATTTTATTGTGAGCTCTTGTATTGCTGTACTAATCATCATTAAGAATCATGCAATAAAATGAACTCCATCAAAAAATTAAATAAAATGGGGACTAGATATTTTTTTAAATTATGTATGTGGCTCACCTTATACTTCTACTAGAAAAGTACTGACCTAGGGAATGTGAAACTTCCAGTTCTGAAACTTGGCCCCAATCAAAACATTATCTAGCTTCCCCAGGAAAGAAAAAACAGTTGAAAATGTTGCCACACTCATAAAGTTAGGAGATTTGCTAGCATTTGGAGCAAATGCCTCGATTTGCATAAAAACTGAATAGACCACTTAAAGATACCAGCAGAGACTTACGGTGGGCAGTAAATGCTCCATATTAAAAATATAGTTACTGTAAAACAAGATATAAAACTACCTATGGGAAAGAACCTAGCAATAACAGCTCTGCCTAGCAGCTCTTTCACTGACCCCACTAATGAAGATCCACAACATTGATCAGCTTTGTGATGTTGCTACTGGAGTTCAATAAAAAGTACAATAGCAACACAGAGGTGAATACTTACATAGAAATTCCAGAAACATAATTAAATAAGTAAATAATGACATAAATATGTCCTCATATGTTGGGACAGTATAAGATGCCAAATCCTTTTAAATGAAATGTGCTAACGAGAATAAAAGACATCAAAAAAAATCAGACAAGGAATTTCACTTCACCTGTCTTCCCAAAACACTGCCAAAACAGAAGAGTTCCTTTCCGTTTACTGAGTTTTATGTCCTGTCCAGACCTTCAGACTTCCAGTGCTGCTAGGAGCCTCGTAACTCCTATCCTGC